GTGGACTTTCGCTAGGGGCAGAGCTTGAGGGGCAGGTTCAGTGACATGTAAGGAGCTGACTGGGGGCTCCCTTGTGTGCATGGCAAAAGTGTCCAAACCTGGGGTGGGGAAGAAGGAGGAAGTGGTCACTGGGAAGATACGCTGTTGTTTTTGGGGATTCAGCCATATTGAATCAGGGCCATGATAATTTAGCAGTTTGTACTTGTGTTGGAACTTACCAATAAACATTAAATGTAACCGCCAACCTGTTAGATGTCCCATATGTTGAGTTCATAATCCCCAAATCAAGGAAGTCTAAAGAATAACAGAGATTACAATAGGAAATTTTGTTGAGGAAGATACAGCTCCTGAGAGGCAGGAGGGGACCCCATTGGGTTGCCATAGACTCCACTCTACTTAGGAGTCTTTCTAGAGCAATGTCACAAGGTGGGTACAATGTGGGACAAAATTATGATCAATAAGGTTACAAGTATAGTCTCTTAGGTAATACTGATCTAAAGGGAAGCAGGTCATGTAGCAAATGTGCATGGAAAGAACAAAGAACTTTTCAGGAAGAGATGAGTCTGAGGGTCTTGGTCACCAGGGTGACTAATGTCTGTCTAGACTTGGACCAGATGTTACCATTATCTTTTTTTTTTTTTTCAGTACCAGGGATCGAACTGAGGAACTCCAGCCCCTCACCATTTATCTTACCATTGAGGAAGCATGTACTGGTCATTCTGCCTTTATCTTCAGGCCTGGCCTCCCAAGATGTATCTCTGGCCACAGCTGTAATATGTTTCCATCTTTTGTACTGACCCTCTCAAGGGTCTAACCCTGACTGCCTATAATATTTCTACCTAACTTAGCTTTCTATAATAAAAACACTTGAAGCAACTCCAGAACTCATGTTCTGTTTTTTCTATCACTCTTGGCGTATGGTATCATCCTTTAAGAGAAAGAGAACTTATTTGCTTATTTTCTGAGACATTTTCTAGCCCCTTTGACCTTTTGAAGGACACTGCCTTGATGTTCTTTCAGTTTGGAAACTGGTTCCTGTTTTCCTGAATAAACACCAGTTAACTTTTTGTGCGGTCCCAGGCCCAGTGGCCTTGGCATGTCTCCATCAGATTCAGCGGTTCTTGGTACTCCTTGCAGCAGAAGTCACAGAACCCCTGGAAAGCACCACTGTACCCGTGGGATAACCCTAGTAGAAACGACAGATGACCAGGTGTGGTGATGCACAGCTGTGATCCCGGCACACCGGAGGCTGAGGTGGGAGGCAGAGGCAAGGAGATTGCTGTACATTTGAGAGCAGCTTGGGCTACAAAGTGAGTTTAAGGCCAGCCTGAACTGCATAGTGAGTCCCTATTTCTTGCTGCTGCTGCTGCTGCTGCTGCTGCTGCTGCTGCTGCTTCTTCTTCTGCTTCTTCTTCTTCTTCTTCTTCTTCTTCTTCTTCTTCTTCTTCTGTATTAGGGCATTTTTCTGTATCTACAGTGTCTCACTACATAGATCAGACTTGTAGCAATTCTCCTGTTTTCAGCCTCCCAAGTGCTGGGATTATAGGCATGCACCACCATGCCCAGTCTCAGTTGCATTCTCAGGGTGTCCCGCAGGTGTGCTGGGGGATCAAACCCTGGCCCTAGTGCTCCACCTAAGCAGGTGCTTTAGTCTGCTGAGCTATCAGGCCAGTCCTGAGACCCCATTTCAAAAAGAAAAAAAAAACCACCTAAAAACAGATAAATGATATCTTACCAGTTTGGGCCCCAGGGCTCTTGAATGCCTTCAAGCTCTCACTGGCCAGGCATTTAGGCTGGTCTTGAACTCATGCTATAGCCCAGACTGGTCTCAAACTCAAATCCTCCTGCCTCAGCCTCCCAAGTACTGGGATTATGGGTGTGTACCACCATGCCCAGCTCTTGCTTTAGTAGTAATAGAAATTAAAACTAAGTGACAGTATGAATTTACAGGTTAAAGCTTTAATTGGAATGGAAGGAGACAGAGGAAGTACTCCAGCTTCAGTAGCTGGTGACATAAATACTCTATGGTACAGGGCTCTAGGCTGGCCCATCCACAAAAAATGGGACCAGTTTTAGGGATTTTCTGGTGGGCCCACTCTGATCATTATTACCTGATAGGTTCTGGCCCTGGTATGAATTGCTGAACTATTATGTTGGTCAGCTAACATGGCTGAAGCCCTTAAACAACCGCTCATCTTCCCAGAGACCACCTCTCCACTATCCAACCCAGCCCAGGGGGCAGTTTCCTTTCACCTTTCCTGCCACCTCAGGGAAGACCCCAATCAGCTCCTCAGATACTTCCAAACACCCCCCTCCAACCCCACCCCTAGCAAAAGGCCAAAAAAGTCCAGAAAAGCCCTGGCTTTCTTTGTCTCAGCATAGAAGATCTACCTGCCCCATCTGCCCTCGATCCTCTCTGTGACTTTGGAGTTAATAAAGGCTTCTTTTATCTTTCCTATGTCTTTACTGCGCCTCTGAAAAACTTGTCATTACCAGAGTCCTGTTTTTGTAGCTCCAGAGCAATCCTCACAGGGGTAAGCTGATTCCATTTCCATGAAATGACGTCTGTCTGTGGCAGCTTCCATCAAGTGAGGCTACTTTTCCTGGGCCCCAGTGACTCCTAATTCATGACAATGGCTGGAGACTTGCAGGGCTTGCTTAAGGGGAACAGGTCTGGAGTGGTAAAAGCTGGCAATTGTATGTCCCTGTGAATCCTGAAAGTTACTTTAGTTCTACGGCATCCTGTGTCTTAAAGGGATGTGAGAGAGGCTAGGTGATAGGTGTTTTTCAGGTGAACAGCACAGCAGAGAAACAGGCAGAAGGAAAAAGAGAAAGGGACTTTATTTTCTTTGAGGACACGGAGAGAATTTGGAGAAGAATGAGTAATTTTCTCTCTCCACTAGACAAAGGGAGGCTGAGGCTTTTACAGCTTTTTGCCAGGAGTGTTTGGAGGGGATGTTTAGATATACCTGAGGGAGCTGACAGGGGTCTTCTCTGAGGTGGTGGGAAGGGTGAAAGTAAGTTCTGTCCTGGGCTAAGTTGGAGAAGAAGGGGGAGGTGGCCCTGGGAGCATAGGCCTTTCATTAAAGGGCACTGGCCATATTAGATGACCACCACAATGATTTTAGCAAGTCACACTAGAGTCCAAACCTATCAGTAGGTACATTTAGGGCCAATAGAGCTTTGTGTTGCCTATTTCTACACAGACAACCCTGTGTGACTTAACATACCTATTTATGGGGCTGAGAAGAATGTGACCCAGAGTTTTAGAAAACGAAGGGCAAGCTTTGTTCTACTTTTAGTTACTTTACTAGACCCAAGCAGTCACAGTTTTTAGTGAAAAAAAACCAGGTTTCTTAGCTGTCTCCTTGATTGTCTTAGGAAAAAACATAAATTAAGCTTTTGATGAGTAACAAACTGAGGGAGGGCCCAGGAGATTGTTTTGTTCCTCTGGGCATGGTGATCTCTGTCAAAAACCACACTTGGAAAACCAGTATCCTGAAATAGCAAGCTTTTCAAGCATTTTTATTCGATTCTGAGCCTTGTCCCCTTTAAATCAGGATCATGTTGATCGTTTTTCATCCCTTCCTGTATCCCCCTCCTTCCATCTGAGCTCCTTCTCCTGCCTGAACTCAAAATATACTGTGGGTCTGGTGGTGAATATTACTCACAGTTAGTGTGTCCCGAATGTATGCTGTCTCACCAAATGCTAATTCACTGCAGAATACTATGCATAGAACTCTAGGGCTGGCCAAATAGCTCAGCGGATTAAAGCACCTGCAAGAAGGCGCAGGGACCCAGGGTTCTATCCCCGACGCTGGATGGCAATTGAGACTGGGTGTGGTGGCCCACACCTGTAATCCCTGATCTTGGGAGGCTGTAAACAAGCAGATTACAAATCTGATCTAGTAATGAGACCATGAACACCTTGTAGACCCTTTCCTAAAATTGTAAAGGGTTAACGGAGTTTTGTGCCTTAACTGTGGAAAATTATATTAAAAAAAAAAAACAAACTTGAGCTTCCTGTTATCTACTCTAAGAAATGTGTTCTCCCTTTCAGCTCAAGACTGTTCAACAATAAATAACTGTTTCTTGTCAAGGCAGCAAGCTAACACAAACTCCCTCCCCAACCATCTCCTGTAACATAGTCAGCTTAAGATGTATCTTGTAAAAATATGCACTTATCACTAAGCTGTGAAAGACAGTTTAGTTATAGTTCGCAGCTCTGTCAAATGAATGCAGTTTCTGTTGTTCTGTGCTAGATAACAAATTTGCTTACCAAACTGGATGTGATTTCTGTTATAAATACCCGCTTGCTACCTACGCTCGAGGCCCATCAGCCTTCTCCTGCGTGAGAAATGGCTGAGGGACCTGAGCTCAGTAAATAAAAGGCTCTATTCAAATTTCTATCTGGCTGATCTGGTTCCTATGCAGAGCTGACCCATAACAAAAATAAAAAAATAAAACTCTAAAGAGTTACTGAGCTATATCCCCTGCCTTCTGCTATGGTTTTTATTATGACGCTTCAGGGACTGATTTTTCATTTATCTGCCTGCTTGATTTTCATTAGGATTCTGAACCTTTGGATTGCCTTTTTCAAATCAGTTTTGGAACATTCTCAGCAAGTCATTATCTCTTCAAACATTTCTACCCCAATTCTTTATTTCCGCATAATGACTTCAAGGCCAGACTTAAGACCCTGTTTCTAAAGAACTGTCCCGTTTTCTAAGATTCCAATTACACCTGGGGCAGCAGAAGGCCTGCGTTCCATGTGCAGCACAAAAAAGGGAAAAGAAAGCGCAGCCTGACGCGCCGCAGGCTGCCTCGCCGTGCGGCCCACCCGCCCTCTAATTCTCGCAGCGTCTGATCTTCAATGTCTCCTGTCTTCCCCACCAGCCGGCACGCCCGCCGAGACTTCCGGCAGCCCCGCGCCGGGTCGCGTAGTGCGCAGGCGCGGCCGGAAGCCGCGTGACCTCCGGCGCCCCGCCCCTTCCGCTGTCCCAGCAGGCCCCGCGCGGCGCCCGAGCAGTCGGTGACCTTCCCGGTTGAGTGGTGTCCGCCGAGGCCTGGGCGGTTGGTCCTGCGGAGGTGAGCGCGGGCTGCTGCGGCGGGGACGGAGAGGGCGCGGGCGGGCGGAGAAGGTCCGGGAGCGAGGGAGCGGCAGTGCGGGCAGAGGCTGCCGCCGCCTCGAGCGCCCCTGCCGCGCCCCCGCGCTTCGGCCCTGTCCCCGGCCGAGGGAGGCGCAGGAGGGGCCCGCCGCCCACCCGGGAGGTCCGGGCGGGTCCCCGCGCGGCGCGGTGCCTCGCCTGATGCGGCTCCCCCTGCCGTCCGCGCCGGCCTCCGGGGCGGGGCCTCTTCCCCTACGGCCCGCTTTGGAGCGCGTAGAAGGAGACGCAAGATGTCGAGCACTCATTAAGTTCAGCGTGGGGGACGTCTGGGTGTTAGTAAGAACCTGATATCTGCTTGGACCTCCACGACCTTGAGATCGGACCCATCCTCCCTCCCGTAGTTCATCCACACCATTTTAAATGACGAGAGCTTGGTATTTATACCAGACACGGTAAAGGCTTGGCAGGGAGTGATCCGTTCCAAGGCCGTCACAGCCCGTTGCAGTGGGGACTCTTTCCATCTTTGTACGATGAGGACTCGGAGGCATTATAAGTTAGCTGTGTCGGGCCCAGGGTTTGGATCCAGACAGGCAGCCCCGGCCGTCCCATTCGGTATCGCGCATCAGTGACCGCCGTGGACGCTTCAGGCGTCCTGACCTTCTGCAGCACCTTGCACCTATTCAGTGCACATTTGCTGAGTGAATAAATAATGTCACCATCCAGGTTTGAACGATTAGAGGTCAGGCACCGACCTTAGAATAGGTTGAGCTTTTGAAGGACCCAGTGTTGTGAATCGATCACCGAGCTAGGGAATGAGAAACCCAGAGAACACTGGAGAGCAGACGCCTGTGTATTGCCCGTAGCAGAGGGAGCAAGCAAGTAAATGGGGGTGGGGAGGGGACACGAGAGGCCCACTGCTGGTAGAGTGGAGGGGCTGAGAGAAGGGAGAAGTACTTGGACCTCCTGTTTCCTGGCACCTGGTGGAAAGACCACCCGTTGTCAAGTCAAATTGTAACTCCTTAAGGTGAAAGTGAGAGCCAGGCTCAGGAATACTTGCCTGAATCCCATCATTAAGGAGGCTGAGGCATGAGGGTCTCACTGGTCATGAAAGACTTGCCTAAGGTGTGATCATAAATTTCAAAAGTAGCTGGACATGGTTGGGACACCTGTAATCCCAGCACTCAAGAGGCTGAAGCAGGAGGATGGTTAGGAATTCTTGACCAGCTTGGGCTGCAAAGTGAGCTCAACACCAGTCTTGCATAGTGAGACCCTGTCTCAAAAAGACCAAAATAAAAGGAATCAGAAGCATTGAGACCTGCACATAAAAGCAAATTGTGAATTTGGGATTTAATAACTTTCCCGTGAAGTCCAGTAATTAAATAATATTTATATTAATTAAATGAATTCTTGGACTGTGGATATAGCTCAGTGGCACAAGTGTCTGCCTGGCAAGCGTAAGGTCCTGAGTTAAATTCCTAGTGCCAAAATAAGTTCTTTCACACATAGGGATCCCCCCTATGCCATCCATTTTGTACGTAACAGTGGGCCCCAAGGCTGAGGGTCAGCTGGTCTAAGTGCACCAGCCCCCAGTGTTAGTTCCATAAGGCGATCACCGTGCCCTGCTCGCTAGCCTCGAGTGCCACGCAGTCAGCATGCTACTGAGATTCACATTTCTGCTCAACGGCAGGATGTGTGACTTGAGCAGTACTGGGTGTGCGGGAAAGGGCATCCTAGTAGGAGGCACTGGGAGGAGGAGTGGAGGCCACCGAGGGCCAGCCCTTGGGACAGGCTTGAGGAACTTGGGAGAGCTGTAGAGGCACCTACAGTGGGGGGCAGGATCGCTTCAGCCCAAGAGCAGCTCCCTGTAAGGGGGAATGGTGTCATCTACAAGTGAATATCTCTTACCAGTTAGGTTAAAACCAATAGTCATCTTAACATCTATCACTGTTCGTTTTCAGATGCTTCAAAGCTTAATTAAAAATGTCTGGGTCCCTATGAAGCCGTACTATACCCAAGTCTACCAGGAGATCTGGATAGGAATGGGGTTGATGAGCTTCATTGTTTATAAAATCAGAAGTGCAGGTAAGTCCCTATGTGTTAGATATATGTACAGCAGGGAAGAATATTATTTTCAGAGGGCCCCACGACTCATCTTCCAAGGCACTGTGGTTCTTAGCTTGACATGTGTGTCAGAACCACCGTGGTCACTTGCAGAGTGGGCCGAGTGCGGGTCCACTATGAAAGGCTTTGTGGAGGGGGGCACAGACAAGACCATGACATCAGAATTGAGTTGTCCTGAAGGCCACAGTGGTATTTCACAGGCATAGGCATTGTCTTCCATCTTAAAAGATGCAGGTTGAAGTATCTTAAGTGTACGGTCATGGGTATAGTGTTTTACTTTTCAGTTCTTCTGGATATTTGAAATTTCTTCTTAACAAAATTTAAAGAGGTGGAATAGCCATTGGGGTCTCAGAGAAGAAATAAGGCCCATTTTTTGTAAACCACTGACATGACTAATGTTTTCCTTCTATTTTAGATAAAAGAAGCAAAGCCTTAAAAGGTAAGTTTGCTTTGCTGTCTTTTGTTTGTTTCTGCTTAACAATTTTTTTTTTCCTTTTAATCTTTTGAGACAGGGCCACCCTATGCAGTTCAGGCTGGCCTTGAGCTCACATTCATTTATTTATTTATTTATTTTGTAGTGGGGATCAAACTCAGGACCTCACTGAGCTGTCTCCCCAGCCCACTGGGCTCACTTAGTAGCTCAGGTTGGTCTCAAACACCCAACAATCCTCCTACCTCATCCTCCCAAGTGTTGGGATTACAGGCATGCACCACCATGTCCAGCCCTGCTTAAAATGATTGGAAATGAAGAATACCATCTTGCCTTTTCTTGGGTTTTTTTTCCTAATGTATTTAGTACAGGGTCTCACAACATACATCGGACTCGTAGTGATTCTCCTGTTTTTAGCCTCCAGAGTGCTGGGTTTCCGATTCCCGCCACCACACCCAGTCTCAATTGCCATTTCAGCGCTCCCCGGGGTGGGGCTGGCAAGGCACACTGGGTTCAAACCCTGGCCGCTGCATTCTGCCTAAGCCAGCCCCCATCTTGCCTTCTCAAGACAGTTACATCATTGCTCTGAACTGAAACTGGGGGCTGGGGAGATGGCTCAGTGGTCTAAAGCACCTACTTAGAACAAGCTTAGCAAAGCACAGGGACCGCAGTTCAATCCCCCAGCACCACATGCCAGCCAGCCCTGCCCTCTGGTGGGCTGAGCTGGCCACACACACACACACACACACACACACACACACACACAAATAAATAAAATTTGAACTGAAACTGATACAATGAGTATATAAAAAACAGTGAAAACTCCAGCTGTGAGTTTGATGGGCCTGCTGGAAAAGAGAGGAATAATTTTTAGAAAACTACTGCTTACCCTCTTTGGTCAGTAAAACACTTTTGAAATAAGAAGGGAAAAAAGCACAAGCATGCAGGAAGCTGAGGCAAGAGGATCGCTCCAAGTTCAAGGCCAATCTGGGCTACATGAGTTCAAGGCCAGCCTGAACCACACAGTGATGGCCTGTCTCAGACAAAGCAGGAAAGAGAGAAAGGGTAAATAATCAGAAGTAGCTGATGCCTCCGCCAGGGCAGCACAGGGTAGCCACGTGAACATGCTAACCTGTGAGTTTCACAACCATCTGTTTGTAATGTGCTTTAAAAGGAAGCGCCTTAAAACTTCGGCTGTGGTGCTGGGTATTTCTTCCCTGTTTCCCCAGTGAGAAAGAAACTGTAGTCATTTGAGGGTTACACCAAATCGGAACTGGCTCCATGGGCTCTGGGAAGAGAGAGCTGCTGCCCTTCCATCCTCGCCCTGCCGGGGAGCTGCTCCTTATAGGAGTCTTGTACAGGAACCTGTACATGCGGCCAGTGTTCCACACAGAAAGAACTCTGCTCTTTGATGGCACTAAATTTCAGACTTGTTGATACTTGCATAATAAGCTGCATTCCAGGGCTTCCTTCCTCATTGCTATCCATATTGTATGTCTTTCAAAAGGTTCAAGTCCTGCACCTGCTCACGGTCACCATTAACCAGCTCTCGAGTACCCACGAGATGAAGCCTCAGTCTGCCTGTAAATTTAAGCAAGCTGTGGTAGATGGGAGCACAGAATGTCACTGTACACCTCCATCAGCAGCGTTCACTCTGCGGCATGAATAAACGCACCTGTGAGGTGCACCACCCACTCTGGACTGTCTTGTGTGTCCCCGCAGACCCTTTGTATGAGCAGCTGTCCCCAGCTGCACCCACCCTCCCGGAAAGCCCTCTGGAAGGAGGAGCTCACATCATGAGTTCTCTACAGAGGGGTCGCGGGGCTGGCCTAGGCACTCGCTCGGACTCTGATATTCAATAAATGTCTGTCTGATGAGTGGTTCTGCCGCTGTCTCTTGGCCTCTTCAAGCCTCTCCACACTTGGAGTATGGAGACAATAATTATGTGAGGTCCAGCTTGGAATTACTGTCAGGGTCAGCAAGGAAAAGGAGAGGAAAGCATGTAGGTTTTGCTTTTGCGACAGTCTCACTTCTCACTGTATAGCTCAGGCTAGCTCTGAACTTACAGTTGGCCTTGAACCTGCAGCAGTCCTCCTGCCTCAGCTCCCAAGTTCTGGGATTATAGATGTACACTACCGTAGCTGGCAAAAAACATCTAAATTTTGAAAATGCTTTGGAAGTAAGATAACGTTAGAGGGGCTGGGGAGATAGCTTGGTGGGCTAAGCACCTGCTTGGAAGACACAAGGACCCAGGTTCAATCCCCAGTATCGGGAGCTGTGCCAGCCCCACTGAAACGGCATGATGGCACATAACTCTAATCCCAGCACTGGAGAGGCTGAGACAGAAGGATCACTACACGTAGTGAGACCCTGTAACAAATTTAGATCACTCGGTAAAATTGTAAGTTCTAGGTGACAGAGTTCACCCAGCGGCAGTGGCGGCAGCACAGCAAAGAGACAGAAAAGATAAAAGAGGCTTTTATTGTGGACACAGGAGGACCGCAAGGAGAGACACGCAGAAACCCTCTGGCCCAAGCAGGGGAGGGCAGCTATATTTATAGGTTCTTAAAGGGGGGTGGGGCCTTGGGAGGTGAGGTGATGACGTTGTGAGGGCTCATTGGACATCCTCCTGGGAGGTGAGGTGGATCATCTTAGTGTGCAGGATGAAGGGAATGCTGGGAAGAAGAGGTAGATAGTTGCTCTGGACTCAACGTCACCTTGTGGAGACGCCATGGTGATTCAGCCAGTTCCCACATGGGCTGGACCCATCACTAGGTGAGAATATTTTTCTGGAAATCACAAAAGCCAACTGATGTTTCTTCTCAGGCCAATATGGAACGAGTAGCACATAATTCCTGTCTGCACCTGAGGCAGGCACCCAACTCCTGGAGTCCCAGAGAGGATTGTGAAGAGGCAGGAACAAGTCCAATTAGAAAACACATTTGCAGGACTGGGAGGTCTCGGCTGTCAGGTACAGACCTCCCTGCACCACCTGTGCGGCAGTTGCTGTGCTGTGCAGACAACTTGCCACCCACTGTGGGGACTGCCTGAGCCTCAGGCTTTTCCTTCCTTAAGGTGGGAATAAACTCACTGAGCCCTCCCTCAGCTGCTGGACACGGTACTGGCCAAGAGCCTTGCGCAGGCAGCTCCAGACCCAGCAGGGTCTCGGGCCTCATGGTTCTGATGTTGGCAGCCTGGACTTCTAGTGGCTTCCTGGGACATGCTGATCCGCAGGGCCAGGCTTTTGAAATGGCTGATCACAGGGAGAACATGCAGCCACACCTTGCCACCTTCTGACAGCCTGACCTGCGCTGCTGGTCACTGCAGGCCCTGGCCAGCAGCTCTGCCGTGTAACGTGCTTGTGATCTGCCTAGGAGGCTTATGTGGTGTTAACCCACAGAAGAGAAAATGAAGCTGAAAACAAGTAACTTGCTGAGGAGCTCACAGCACTGATGTCCAAAACGGGAATTAAGGACCAGATGAAAGGGCTGTGTCCCGTCCAGGTTCCGTCCTATGAGAGCTGGGCTGTTGCTCCTCCACCTGAGATCACTGGCCAGGTCACTTCTCTGGTACAGGCTGTGTGTGTCTAATCACTTTGTTCACGCTGTCACTTGTGCAGGACTGGGTGGAGGTACATCTGGGTGCTAGCCAGTGGTAAGAGGAAGAAGTGCCTTCTAGGTCCCAGGATGGTGGGAGAGGTCATATACCACACATGGCCTACAGGTGGAGCCCCAGAGCTCGGTGTCCAGGCGGTCACTGAGCTGCCTGGAGACCCAGCTGCTGCAGATAGAGGTGACCACCATGCAGAGGCTGCAGGAGGGCACGGCCAGCTTCAGGAAGGAATGGTGGACTTGTGTTGCGCTGCCCCCCCCACCCCCGCGTGCTGTCACCAGCATAACTCGGGCATCTGCAGATGGGATTTTTATTTTCATTATTTTATTTCATTTTATTCATTTACTTTTTTGTGGTACTGAGGATTGAACACAGGGCCTCCCGCACCCTAGACAAACAACACACTGAGCTACGTCCCCAGCCCTTTTCTATTTTCAATTTTGAGGTGGCAGCTTGCTAAGCTGCTGAGGCTGGCAGCAATGACCACATCCACTTTGAGATCCTCCTGCCTCAGCTCCAGGAAGAGCTGGAGTTTACATATGCAAGTGACCCCAACTGGCCACAGGGAGCTACCAGAGGAAGCACCTGTTTCTGCTTGTCCCCGATGTCACCCCAGGATGTCCCTCAGTCAGAGGCCTTGGCTGTGGTTCCCGCCACCCTCTAGGGGTTGCACCTTTAGCTAAAGGTCCAGACCGTAAGCCATGGAATCTGACAGCACTCTGTAGGCACGTGCTGTTGGCAGCTTCACAAATGGTGATGTGCAGGGTGTGTGCAGGGTGACTACCCTGGCTCACAGACCAGCAAGGTAACTAGCAGAGCCAGGACTGTCAGAATTGAGACTTGGGCTGCAGTCTGACCGCAGGTACCTTCATTTGTGTTGAGCCACATGTTACTACTGGGGACGTGAGGCCAGTTAGCATGCAGGCCCTTTACTCCCCAAGTTGAGAGTCTAGAGAAAGGCACGTGAACAGATAGTGACGACACCTGGCCACGCACACGGGCTGCCCAGCCGAGCTGTACGACAACCTCGAGCCTGCACACACAAGCCCCCTCTCGTCCAGCAGCCAGCTCAGACCGGTGGGTTTGGCTTAGACCCTTACTCAGACAAGCCAGTCACAGCAAGGCACTGCTGGTCCACATGAGGGTATTATACGTAGATGGAGTGCAGTGATACCGAGGAACTGCTGATTTTGCTAAGCCATTAAGTACCACAATACCGGTAATGTCATTGAGGAAGATGTCTAGTTTCAGTTACATGAATGGCATTATGAGTGTACTAGGCCAGACATGGGGTTGTGCACCTGTAATCCCAAGACTCGGGAGGCTGAGGCAGAAAGATCTCTGAGTTCAAGGCCAGCCTGAACTGCACAGTGACACTGTCTCTAAGAAAAACCAATAATAATAAGTACAATGACGTTATCCAATATTAGCAAATCACACACACTGAGGCTGGGGAGGAGCTCAGTGGTGCAGCGCTTGCTTCGGTTGTGCAGCACAGCCGCCACCAACCCTGCAGAAGCAGAAGTGCTGTTCACCTCCGGGCGTGGAGCCTGCGGCAAGAATCATGAGAGTGAGCTCCTGGTCCTCTGCTTGGTCTGTGCCTTTACTTCCGGCAGTGAAAAGCTAAAGACTACTTGAGCAAAACCAGCAAGAAGCCGAGCGAGCAAAGCCCCTGTCAGTGCTGTGATGTGAGCCAGAGAAGCCTCCCGTGCAGCCGCAGGCGCTCCAGGCAGCCGCTCTGTCAGTGGCGAGCAGCCACATCACACTCCAGGGTTTGTCACCAAGGGGATGGAAGAGTCAGCCTTATGATTGGTTCCCTCTTGGACACCGATGTGGAAACAGGCCCTGCGTGACACCCGAGCCTAGAGGAAGAGCATGGCAGAACACTTACGTAACTGAACAAAAACTTATTTTTTTAAATTAAATTTACAGGGTCAGGGAGTTAGCTCAGTGGTCTAAGCGCCTGCCTGGCAAGCACAAGGACCTGAGTTCAATCCCCAGTACCACATGCTGAGCCAGCTCCAGAACACTGGGCATGCCGTGCCAGCCACTGAAACCGGGCATGGTGGCACATGCCTGTAATCCCAGTACTGGGAAGGCTGAGACAGGAGGATCACTCTTGAGTCTGAGCTGCACAGTGAGACCCTGTACCAAACAAAAGATTTTTAAAAATCAAAAATAAATTAAATTTACAACTCAAAACATGTTCATGATGTTTCTATACTGTCGTCTTGGTCTGCTTTTCTGGCTTTCAAACATAATAGCACATTAGTCTTTTTCTGCCATCTTTATGTTTGCAAAATATATTCTACTCCATAATGAAAAGGTCAGGCATTGCAGTGTGAGACATTTCCCTTATACTTTTGCCAAGAGAGTAACATTGGCTAAGGAAAACATGTTGCATTTATGTTTCCTATTAAAGCAAGCAATAAATCCAAATAATTCTTTCAAAACATGACCATTTGGTAGGTGGATGTCTCAGAACTTATCCTAAAAAACCAAGCTAATGATGTAGCCAGCTGCCAGCTGCCAGAAGCATCGCCCTTCGGCCCTTGCAGGCTTGCTGCCCTGGGATCCCCAGGGGGTCCAGACGTGTTAGGGAAGTGATGGCAGGCAGGGGGTGCTGGGGCACCTGAGGTGAGCTGCCTCCTCGCTCCCACCCAGACATAGGCTTATTTACCAGGGTACCTCCCCCAGCAGGTCAGGCCGCTGAGATGGTCCCAGACCCCACTGACACAGCCTTGCAGCCTGGGGACACCCTGTGAGCACACAGCTCACAGGCCTTGCCCTCACCCCGTGTGCCTGTCACCAGTCCCGCACCGAGGGCAGAGTTCAGGGAAAGGGGAAATCATCAAGGTCGTTATCATCAGCCAGGGACAGGGCCTGCATGGAAGCAGAGGCTGCTGGTCCCTCCTCAGCAAAACACGAAGCTTGCTGCAGCACTTGGGATGGCATGGTACGAGCCCCTGGAGAACTGGCTGAAGCTGGGAGTGGTGATGGTAAAAGAACACAGTCATGTAACTTTTAAAATTATACTAACATCAAATAAGGCACAGCGCTTTAAAAAAAGGGGGGGGGCTG